GAGATGTTCTTAATATTTAAAAAAGATGTGATACAATTACATGTTTTTTACATAGTTTTCTTATATTATATTTATTCTATTATTCGAGAAAACATTTTTTATCCATAGACCATACATGGATAATCTCGATTGGAATACGTTTTACATTGGAGAAATCTAAAAAAAAAAAATTATATGGCAACACAAATGCATGTATATATAAAACGAAGAACCATAGAAAAAGCAAACCAACCAACATATTATAGATGCGTTTAATTTAAAGCTATAATCCGATCAAGGTATGCGTTCACAATTCTCGGAGCTGGTGCACGTCATGGGTGAGCCGTTGACTGATGTACAGCGTTTGGTGGTAACGCACCTAATAGTGTAACAGGAGGAGAACGACGAGTCGCAGGCTATACAGAGGGAGGAGGAGTACCCTCCTGGAAGAGGCTGGAACTGACCATGACCAGGACGATAAGTGGCTGCCATGTCTTTATAAATTCTGCCACCGCAACGTTTCGTTGTGCTCGGTCCAATCCACATTTTCGAGCTTCTTTGGTCATTGCCCTCCAAATTCCTCGCCATCTTTACAGTCCCTGCTGCATCACCCATACAATTCACACTTCAATTTTTACTGTCTCTTTTGCAATGATGTATATAAGTTTTTATCAATATATTAAACTAATTAACGAAGCGGAATAGTTACTATTAGTTAGTAATCAGATCAAATTAAAGTAAATAGATAATAATAATATAGATACTTATTACATCTATAAAATAATGTTCTCTATTAGTATCTGGTATATATTAGGGCTGAGCATAAAACGAGTACCCTGAAAATTTGGACTACCTATTACCCGACCTGACCCTACCGGGTATTTGACAAATAATACCTTTACCCGACCCACAAAAAACGAGTACCATATACAACGGGTATCTGGCAAAAATTCGTTGACCCGCCGGGTACCCAGCCCTTTATCCTTACCCACTCAATTGTAATGTACTTTATGTATAATTAAAGTTAACCAACTTATATACCAAAGAAATGAAAAAGTTATTAGAAAAAAAAATAATATCTTAATAGACAACATGTAGCTCATTAAATATAATATTACAAACTTCAAAACTTAAAAGTTGTAATCCATCGTCTCCAAAATTATTATCGATGACAATTCAAAAACGTAAAAGATTGACGTTGTGAGTATTTATACTATAATATATATTATACCATTTATTTTATAACTAAGTTTATCAAATATTAGTGATATAAAATGCGAGTATTTACGAGTCGGGTAACAAATCGAGTACGAAGACGGATAAGGAGACGGGTAGTGAAAAAAAATGATACCCTTAACCTGACCCTTATCCGCGGATATCAAAATTATAGTACCCTTTACCCGACTCGAACGTTATGGGTACCCTAATTTTTGATACGAGTGCGAGCCGGGTAGCGGCTAAAAGACGGGTAACGGGTATCTGTGCCTAGCCCTAGTATATATATATTTTTTTTTTTGTCACAGACATACTTTGCTAATTGGTTAGAGCATAATCAATGGTATGTTTTAAGTGGTTTTCAATGGGTTTCTAAAAAATTAAAAACAATTAAATAATACACAAAACTTAAGAATCCCAGTAAAAAAATTCTAATTTTAGAGATTAAAAACCCCAAAATGTGAGATTAAGAACCCCAAAATAATTTATAATAAAAAATTATTAAGAACCCCAACTTAAAACCTACCATTGATTATACTCTTACAAAGATACAGAAATATCAGTGAACCAATAGGGAAGCGAAGTGCTACTCTATTAGTATATGGTAAAGAAATAACTTATATATATATATATTTTTTTTCTAATAGCATATGTAACAGATATGGTTTTCTCAAATAATAGAATAAACATAAAATAAGAAAATTATTGTAAAACATGTAATTGGATCATATCTTTACTAGTGATCAAACATGAATACCGATAAAGATAAAAGAATCTCACTGAGTTTGCGGATTTCATTTTGAGCACCAAGAGCTTCATCCATATCAAACGAAAACACGACGAGGAGAAGGAATAGCATAGAAGAGAGTATAGAAAATGCCATCTCAATAATTATCTCTGTTGTGTATCACTTCTCGCAAAAATAAGACTTAATTTAGCTAGGTCTGAATCTAATACATATTAATCACTACTGAATTTAACCTAATCAACTCTCTCTTATCTCTACTTAATAATCACTGTGACTCACGTTTATTGC